CATAGTTTCTAGAATGAATTGATCATAGTTAAAAATACATTTCCATTGTTCCTGTATGTTCTATATTATACATATATATGTATAATCTGATCTAGAACACACAACGTCGTGTAAACAATTACAGGACGTTGTATGTTTTAGCGTTAATATATGCGGCGGACGCCAGCTTGATATCAACTTTAATTATGTTTCATTTAAAAGAACTTAATTTACAACTTTTTCGTTAAACGAGTTTTATTTGTTGTGAGAAGAAGTGATCCTGATACTTATTTACTGTTAGCCATCCTTATTTAAAATTATCCATTTTATAACTTTGATACATGAATATATATCGACTGCAAATATGTTATGATGTCAGTCTCTTAATAGTGAAAGAACATGTTAAATTTTACAGGAATTAAGTTTAAATTTACGATCTTTCTGTATCACCACATGTGTCTATGAAGCAGTATAAATTGTAGTTAGGTAAATTATAATCGTATGTATGATATCTGATGCGTATATTAGATCTAGAATTAGCTTCAGATCCGATTGAATGGAAGAGTTTCGCTAGGTTGTTTCAAACTACAACTTTTTACGAATAGTCAACAAAATATTGATTCGGAGCTCCTTGTTTCTGTAGCCCTTGGGTCAATAAATTATTAGAATAACTTCAAGATTTATAAACGTTTTAATCTCGTTAATTAAACTTACGCGATCAGTTGAGCTTTAAAGATTTCATTAAAAACCTTGTAGGAGAGGCACAAGTTGTTTTCGTGTCCTTATTCAGGATTACCGTAACCTAAAGTATCAGTAGCCATACAGTCTCAGCAATGATTATGTGAGAAGTTCAGTCTTATGATATAGAAAGAATGAAGCAAAGCTAGGAAGGTTTTTCGTATTGTGGCTCAAAGGCCAAAGAATCTATTGTGAATTCTAAGCTAAAAAGAAACGCAGATACCAAAAAGAATAGTCGACCTATGATGATAATATTATCACGAGTGTCGGAAAGTAATGATTTGCTCCTCTATAACGAGTTACGAAAAAGTTGAAGACTTAACAGGCGCATTTACATTACATTGATTGTTGGTGAAAACCAACATATTATTGAAGCCTGTGGTTAGAATACCCAAATAGAAGTAGGTTCAGGTTTCAAGATCCTTTCGTGTTTAGTAGCTATAAATTAGGCTGTTTTATGAAAAAAAAATCGTATACGATACATAGGTTTAGCTTAGTTAGTTCGTTCCGATCAGTGCTATCTTTTCTTGCGCGTTTCTCATGTCACCTGCTTTACTTCCTTCAGGTCAAGCTTGTTGCATTTACTTAATTTTATTGCAGATCTGCTGGATGACATGTCGAATAAACAATGCCCGATAGTCAATGAATAATTATATCAAATGCGCCACAGTTTATCGCTTGAAGGATCTGCTTCATTTTGTTTAAGTTACAACCTAAGTTGTGTGATTCTTTCTTCAGAACTAATAGCACCTTGAATGCTGAGAGAGAACGTGAAAAGGGAATGAGCTCATAACGTCTATTGCTAGAAAGCTTCGCAAGAGTTGAGCGCCAAGACATAGTTATGTAATTCGTTGGTAGCAGCATTGTACATACGAAATAAAGCAAGATTTGAGCTATAGAGAAAAAAACAGTGAACTGGGAACGAGGATCATAAAAAGGTTCTCCTTATTGGTTTCTAGTCGTGTTTGCTCTCTTATTTGCTTGGAAATTTGTTAGCGTGACACATTCATACATAGTTGCTTTCTGATTTCTTAACACTTCCAACATATTGAATTTCTTTCTTTCTTTCAAATTACATTGCTATAGAAGAAAAGTATGCAATGTTTTACATCAACCTATACTTACTCCATTAGGGTAGCGTAGAAGCCTATACGCCGATTAGTTTTTTTTAATTATTTGACTTTGCTTTACATTACCTACAAGTAATCAAACAACTATGGCACCTAAATAACATGATCATTACTCTTATTCCCTTCGATGTGTTTCTGATCCCAGACTTGATTTTTGCCAGTTCTCTTTTGCCACGGTCGTTTGCGCCTTTTCAGTGGGAGGTGTACGCGGAGACTGGAAAGAAGAATAGACTGGGAGTTTCGGAGGCGCGCATGGTGATCTCGGGCCACGGTGAAACCTACCTTGACATCGTACGTCAAACGGCTGGTGATTTTCACAACATTTGTGAGAGAGGTCTTCTATACTGTATAGCCAAACAAGAAGCCAGTATTCTTAATAAAACATGTATTAACCTCTGTTCGCATTCTAGAAGGCCACGGGAATGCATGGTGGCAGATTGTGGCCTTCATAGGATCTGCAACATCAATGCGTGGTAACTGCAAGTGTCCTGTATCATGACATGTACTCTAAGAGTATGAACGATTGACGCAAGTCAGGTAAACGTGGGACGGAACATTTTGATACCAGGAAATTCGTACGATCTCTGCTACGTAAGGTCAAAGACTTGTTAATAACCCTAGCATAACACAGGCAAAACGACGTAGATGTTCAAACCAGATTGCAGACATCATGTAAAAAAAGTGTCAAAACATTATGCTTACTTTTTTCTAAAAAAAAAAATCGTCATTCAGTTTTTCAGGCTAACACATGCTGCTTTACCTCAGCTAGCCAGCTTAGCTTGAGTTGAGCCTTTCTTGAATGGCAACTTTTAACTAGAATTTTTTCCTGTTGAAACAAGCTGTTTTTTCAGATCTGCTCCTACTCGTTGGTCTCTTACAGTCGTGATACCTTCTGCGTTCGCTACGACCTAGACATACCCGCTATTCGTCAATCGCGAACCACCAGGCCCCACCTAGTGAATGCTCTTGTAAGCAACGCAATCTTTTTCAAAATTGCCGCGCAAAGTTTAATAACTTTTCTTCCACGTATGCCTCACAAATAATAACTACAAAAAGTGCCTTTCATATTCGATCGAGCAGGTATCTCTGTAATTTAGTACCGTGCATGCAGGGAAGCATTCACTCAGTGCTTACCCACTGCTCAATGAGCTCCAAGGACAGATGTAGGGGTGAACAAACGTTTTTTTTTTTTTTTTATATAATATTTTGGGTTTTAAGTGATTTAATATATTTAATATGCGTTCTGTCATGATCTGAAAAAGTTCAGATCGGAAATTCTTACGGTTTTTGAAAATCGTATGACGGCATGAAATTGGAGAAACGAGACTGTCCCGACTGACTTAATTTTGATTTTTTTGGGTCAAAAAGCAACACGGCATGGTTTCTAATGTACTTCATAAGCTTCATTCAAAGATAATATTATTTGATGCGTCTGATTGATCTTTTAGCAGCTAACCTAAGTAGTTGCTCGACGGATTAGTTGGTACTTAGTAATTTCATAGAGGCCTTGGAAATCACTACGTATAATTGCAAAATTTTAGCAAGAAAGCTTTGGTAAATGAAGGGGTGTTGACTTCCATTTAGCTGTGAATCTCTATTTAACGAATTCGTACTACAATTTCGTGGTTAATTATGGTTAACAATTAGATATGGAAGAACTTTGTAAAGCAATCATAATTACCGTTTACGGCTGTTATGATGCTGTCTACGATAAATTAGGTCTGTCTATTGCCATAAACTCCTTCAGCGTTGACATATTTATCTCTTTTAGAAAGTTTGAAGTTAGATGAATTAAACCGCGTGCACTTATGTATGTGTATTATTGGTAATATCTGCAGTATTGTTAACTGTTACCAATGAAAATGCTACCTAAACGGCGGCCGCTGAAGCTACACCGTCATCCTTCAGGTTTTTTGTTGTTTTTTCTTAAATAGCGAAAATTAAGAGATTGAATTGCTACAGCAGTCAGAGATCACTACTGAAAGGTCCCGAGAACATGTTTACAATTTATTTGCCAAGCGTGAGATAGAATATTGATTATTCCCTTAGTCTTCGTTGACTTCCACGAGGATGGTAACAAATACATCGGACAATAGCTCCTACGGTCCAGGTGCTGTTTTATTCATTAGCTCAGACATTCTATATTGATCCTCTGCTAATCCAACAGATGTTCAATGTGCCTGCTAATTCAACTTACGGTTACAAATGTCTATGAATGTTCTGCTTTGTCTCTCTTTGATCTACGGATAACTAAGTGGTGTCTTGCATTTCATAAGCAACTTTCAACTTATTATCTGTGAAGCTTTATTTTATATAAATGTTCCAAAGGATAAACGCTATGCAAATTCAACTCTACCTTTTTTGAAAAGCTATTTATAAATCTCGTTTCTCGAAGAACACTTGGAATTTTAAGGACCTTTGAGCCTTTACCCTGTCAAGAGGATTCTCTGTTCCTTCTTCAGTGAGGTGTGCTTTGCTAGCCGTCAGACAGGTTGCTTATGCCTCAGTGTAAACGTGTTTACGCAAAAGCTCAAATGAACGCTATTCGAAACTAGGCGACTATGTGGAACTATTGTTGTCACAGCTGCACGATGAACGTGCTAGATAAACGTGACGCTCACAAGCGTATGCAAATCTCTGATTCATTGCCTTTTTTCTGAAGTGTCTGGCTAGCCGGCTGGCTGGCTGGCTGACTGGTACGTGAATGACTAATCTCAATTGACGAGTTTACTTATAGCGTTCGCGCGTTCATGGAATCTCTCTTAGTTTAGTACGCAGAGGGTAGTACGTCACGATAAAATAGAAAGAAAGCTTTTTAATTAGGTAAGCGGTTCTAGCTCAATGGGTTACACTAATGCTCTTTATACCTATAAAATTTCAGCTAAGAATATGTAGAAACTTCAATGCCCTCGCTGTGAATTACGTTTTCTCGCTTAGTCGAAGTATAGTGGGTAAACATTACCGATCTCCCAACATATCAAAGTCGAAATTGTAAAAGATGTAGTTATTAGGTAAACAAACATGCTAGTATTACTAAAAAGTTTATATCAGAACACTTTACGTTGCACTGAATTGAAGCGAACTTAAATAACATAGTGTATGTATCCATATTTATATAATTTATAAAGTAATTTATAGAGATTTCAGTTTTTAAAAATACATTTTTTTCCTACAAACGACAAAGTTTACTATCTCGGTTTGTATCCTGTACCCACAACGATGTCTTCTATGTGCGACCTCAAACGCTCACAACGAAGTGCAGTTTGTAAACCTAATAGCTCAAACGTTCAAGATTCTAGTTCAATTATAACGACATTGGTATCTTCAAGTTCGAACAGTGACGGTCAAGCGTGGTTAACGGCAAGTAAGTACGACGCAAATATCAGCCATAGTAAAGAAGTTCGCAGAAAAGCGGATGAACGTTCCATCTCAGAAGAGCAGGACCAACAAAATTCATCGTCAGTGAACACAAAGTACAAAGGAACTAGCGAGCGCCATATCGGTCAGTCACCAAATGACGAAAGATTAACGAATCGTCGTGAGCTCCGTGGTGGGAATGTTACCATTGAGAAATGTCCTGCAGAAACTATAGCACAATGCCATAGAAAACCGGTAGCCAAGCAGTCTCAGCTAAAGTCTGACCTGCCGCAGGACACAAGAAAACAAAGTAGATGCTCTTTTCGATATCGCTCAACCGGACTGCAGTCAAACATGCGAACGACACCGTACAGGTACAGCTCAACAACAGGTGATTATAATGACGAATTAAATGCAGATTCCGATGACGAATATACAGACCAGGAGACATCGGCCGTCATTGGCTACCGATCTGTTTCATTTAAGGGCCGCAGTGCAGAAAGGGAACCAGCATCGAAAAGTTCTGCGTACAGTATAACCACCGCGTATAGTGAGGAAGAAGGTGGCTGTATCGGCAGGGCCGATTCTGACGATTGCTTCGTGTATGGCGATAATGCAAATCACCTAATCCCGACCGTCTTGGCAGAGCTGGACTGTAGTTGCATCCGTAAGACGTCAAAAATAGCCCACGGTGAGACCTTTACGTTCCATTCTCCGAATTTACTATCTACGTTTAAGCGCTGTCGTAGGTAACAGTTGAATGTTGGGTGAGAAAGTTCTGTGCTGGTCATAGCTAGTCATATAGCAAGGTGCTGTCGATCGATAAGTAATCTGTTTAATGAAACACCTTGATAGCCCACGGCTGATATCAGTAAATCATAGATTGGGGTGTGGACTCGTACTCGTAGGCAAAAATGCATTCGTGTACGTAGAATTTCCTGCTCGCTGTTAGCGTTTCTCTTCACGATTGATAGCGACGCTCCGTTTACAGGTTCCTATGGCGGTGACCAGTCGGGGGCGTCAACGTGCAAGTCGAAGTACAGTCGGGCTAATCTGTTGTTATTCTATTTAAAGCACGCACATACGTTAAAGGACGATAAGGATGAAGTTATCATTGATCTGTCGTCCCGGAAAACTTTCCTGGAAAAGAGCATAACTTCTGCTTTAATGGACTCCTTCTCTCAGATCTATTAAAATCACAAAAAAAAACTAGTAATAGGACGCTTGACACGTGACTCATGTATATGGTGACACAACCATTTCTAGCCCCTACCTGTGCGTTCAGTTGGCGAATTTTAAATGATTAATAAATTAGTACATTTTAAATGATTAATAAATTAGTACATTTTAAATGACTAATAAATTAGTACATTTTAAATGACTAATAAATTAGTACATTTCAAATGATTAATGAATTAAAACTAAAATATTAAAAAAATCCTTTTCCGACCAAGCTCAAGTTCGGCCAGAATAACAGAATCGTAAATCTAGTAGTAAATAGTAAATTGGTGATTTTTTTTTTATTGTGATATGGAAAGTTTCAAAGAAAAGACGATTGTAACGGATGTTGGGTTTACTTTACAAAGTCGACGGAAAATTTGTTTTATAAAGATTTGAGCTTTTTCTTTTGCGGGCGCTCTCTGCGCGTCTTCACGGTCCTTTCAAACCAACGCCGATATAATTAATCTACTCTGTTCTATAAAGGGTTTAGACGCTTACTTCTCGGTCTTTCTCTACCGTCCTCCTCCCGTTCCTTGGAGTCAATGGTGTAATAAGTCAAAAAAAAGTCAGAATGACGGATTAAATATGTTTATTGGTTTATTTTTATAAATCTACATACTTAAGTAGCACATGCAGAGAAGCTTGCGAAACAATGTCACTGACAAACAGATCTATATTACAAACCCGATGAACGGTTTTGAAGGAAAACCTACCGATAACCAATCTGGGCATATGAGTTGTAAGTGCTGAAAATATTTTGCTATAATGGAGAAAATCGTCATCCCTTGCATTCTATTACACACCTGAAAGAAACATTGTTGTAGAGAAAAAATAGATATTTTTTGCGAGATCACGCTTATTGAGACTTGATCCTTATGTGCCATGAAACGAAATCAAGCATAGGCATGTGTGGGGTGACTCGCGCAAAGGGACGTAAATCCGTTTACAGGGAACGTTCCAAAAAAATGGAAACTCGATTTTCACCCAGGTGAATGAATGCTTTCTGTACAAAGACTTTTTATCTAGCGTATAGGCCTTAGAAGAATTATCTCTGTCATTGTAAAGGAAAATAATTGTCTTTCGTTATTGACGAATCGGTTGGTTAATAGCGACTCGTCTTCCGGGGCCGCGAGTATTTTACGGAGTATTTTTTTGCCACGTTGGTTTGTCCCGATTTTTGCACTGTTAATAGCGCTGACGATTTATAGGCCTATTTTTTCAGTACTTCTAGTTGTTAAAAGGCCAAAATACGTCTTTTTAGCAGGCGCTTATTTCCGACATAAAAGTATCGTAGCTCAACATCGAGCGATGTTTTTCTAGGGACCTGGAAAATTCATTATCTTCTATTTCGTCAGTAGTATTTGACTGCGTTTTGTGTGTTGTTAAAAAATGGCCAAAGAGATGGTTAATTGAATTGTCTAACATGGCAAAGGGTAGCGACAGATGGATACAACGGTAGCTCACAGAGATACACATGAGTATACTCCTGTTGTAATACATAAACGTTGTAAATTGTCCCGGGAGCTTAGATTTTTGACACTGTCACTCCAAAGCAAAAATTGCACCAGGCTATAATACAGTAAACGTTTATAGTCGACGTGTGTTCAAGACAATACTGCATCTGCCCAAGAACGAGCCACCGGAATCGAACGGATATATACCAGATTCAATTACAGTTGATTGCGTTTCCTTCAATGGGCTCGACTCCAGCCATTGTTGGCGTTGTTGCTGGCCGTTCGACAATCGGCTAGATGATCGTTTTGATCTTTCTATTGGTCATTTAAGTCGTAAGCGGTATCGATAGGCAATTGAGGCGGGACCAAGTGTGTTTTCCCTGTGTAACGCACCTCGAAAAAAATACTCGCAACAAGCATCCGCCGTGAGACAGATAAATGTCTTTTCGCTGTGGGCTCGTGCATGCTTCTCCTTGTTGGGCTGCTGCTACCGCAACTTCAGCTGTCTCTGCTGTTGTGGTCTTGTTAAAATTGTTCCCCGTCCATGCGTTGCCATCAGTGCCGAGGGTCCGACGCAATCATCGGAAGTGAGAAAATTGCGCGTGCCTTGTCGTTTCACTGTCGGAGGGCAATTTCTGGTGAAGACAGACAGGCAATGGCTTGTCTGCTTGCGCACAACATAGCGAAAAATTGTTGTTGTTGTTGTTCTGGTAGCAAAAGTGACTATAGAGAATAAGAAGAACAGCAACAACGATAACAGGAAGGATGATGGGAATAAACAACAAAAAAAGCAATTAGCGTGCTTGACTTTAAGGACCTGGTCGGTTATTGTTCTTTCACAAGAACGCAAATATATTCGTCACCCTTAAGCACATGCCGTCGACATCTATTCTTATAGTACTATTTCTACATATTTGATGTTGCTACCTGACTGAGGCTAAGACAATACAAGTTGGCAAAAGAGTTAAACTTCGAGAGGAGTATGCTTAAATTGCTGCAGCTAAAATAGAACCTGAATTTACCTGCAAGGTTAGATCGCGAATGCATCTTCGAGAAAATCGTTTTCGTGTGCGCATGCGTGTATACTATATTTTTAGGATTCATGTGCTATATAGAGAGCGCTGACCCCATTATTAAGCTTCGTTTTTCTTGCACGGCATCTAGGAGTGCAAGGATTTTAGATCTTTTTTACTCTGATGGTTTGAAACTCCGCTGGGCTGGTTCATCAATGCAAGCACGTTTCTGTATGTATGGATACGTATACCTTTCGCTCAGCGTGGAACAACTAAACCACGAATAGCCAGTGACGTGATACTTTAAAAATTATGACGTACCGCATGTATATGCGCCGAAGCCTAAGCCAAGCTAAGGTTTATTTCTGTCACCGAATGGAACTGATCACCTTATTTCGCAGCAGAGGTTATTGCCTTGCGCGGTTTTTTTTCGAATATAGTGCAGGTTCGGTTTGAAAACTGAGCCGGTCTAGTTATAATTGACTTCAATTGCCTGCTTTTAGCTCATAGAGTTAATCAAACAATTAACGTTCGAAGAATCAATCATCTCGATTAATCACTGATCATTTGTAAGCATACAGCTTGTTACCCTGTTGCTGCCACTGCTCAATGTGTTCTGTCAATCTCTTTGATACTCTCGATAAAAATTGACTACAGAGCTTTCAGTAAACCATAAAGTTGTTTTTGTGTTTGCTTCGCTCTCCAGACGTTTCGATTTACAAAAGGTTCTAAGTAGAAGTTTGAGTACAGACGTTCTTCAATTTGCTACACGGTATATTGTGCTATGTATTTAGCATTTTGCTGACGGCTGCACGGCTATTGGGCCGTTAGTGTCCACTACAAAGGCCGCGTAGTACACGTTACACGTTTTTTTTCCACACTTTTATTGTGACGCGCAATCGACCTATTGCTATAATATTACATTGCATACTAAAACTTCAGTCTAGTAAAACTATTGCGACACATAAACTGGGAAGAAGATGGGAAGATAATATGGTTTAAGTTTATACGAAATATGTTTGTAGTTGAAAGCGTGCCATATCCAACAGTTAGTATATCTTTTAATTCAACATTCGTTGCAATTACTCGTTCTCAAGTAACGATCATTTTTTTTTTTAATGCAGCGCTCTTCCTGATTTCTTTGAACGGTGATACGGAGTTATAGGAAAACTTAGAATACCTTAATCCATTACCTCAGAGTATTTGCCTCTTAAAATGTAAACCTTATATTCTTGTGCTTATCGCCTAAGGAGACGCTAAGCATTCTCAATGCTCTCGAGTGCTACATCGTTTTTCATCATGCACAAAACCTACAGTTAAGGTGCGTATAGCTAGGTCTGTGTTAAGGACCTTAGCCATTGAGTAAGTTATAATTAGTGCGTAAATCTGTCTTGACAAATTGATTTGTAGATATTTCTAAGTATCTGGGAATATGAAATAGTAAATGGTTTAGGTCATTTACAGTATAAGCCACAATGAAGGCGCATATCTGCGTAATGGTAGCATTTCCAATGGTCGTACCGTGTGCGCACCGAAGTATTTTAGGATTTCACTTTAATGGGTGCATTGATACAGCCGTCCAGCCTAGGGAAGCTAAATTTAAAAAGGACAAGATGTTTTCATGTTTTGCAGTAATATGTCAGAAAGAAACTAGGCGGCTAGAGATAAATCAAGATGAGATAGTTGATTTTTCTAGGCACTTCTCGACGTACGCTGAATATAGGCGAGGAGGACTGGCAACTATTCTCTCTTAACAAGCATTATGACCGTCCATGTGCCAAAAATGTTACTCTGGTATCTGTTTAGCTTCGTTTTAGAAGGACAAGTACATAGTCGCACTACAGTCAAATGATGACAATCTCTCTGACGCCAGCCTGTAAAATATGAAATGTACAATATAAGATATTACAGAATCATTTAGTCAACGTCACGGGACTGGACGACGATGAACCCTGATAACTTATGGTGTTTCAACCACGGAGATCTTATCCTATCTATCTATCTATATATTCATAGTATCGAACCGACCGCCTCGTGTTAGACTTAGTGAAAGGAGGCATTTTGCACAGGATTATAGGGAAGCATTTTATTAAAGTTATCTCGCGTAACTTATTTGCTAATATTTTCAAGCGTAGCGTCCCTTCTTATAGACGGTGTAACTTAATTCCATACTTGGATGTACAGCTGTCCATTCTAGAAGTGGTGTAGAGATGGGTTTCTTAAACCTTTCGGGATTATATATATTGCCCAATTTGATTTTGGGTTAACTGGACGCATGTGTGTGACAATATGGTGTACCAGTTTTTTAAATTTTCATAGTTAGTAGCTTAACGTCATGTAATTTTCGCGATGAAGACAATGAGATAGAACTTAAAAGTATCCGTTGTTGTTTGTTCGACATTTAGCGAACATCACGTTGCATAGCATCTCTTAATTTATGGGCTGTCGCGCGGCTTATTGGTGATCCTAGGGAGAATGCTGCTGACTCAGCTGAATGATGCTAACAGCTTAATTCTATAGGCGATTTGATATGAGGCTAGGATACGACTATTAATATGCCCGGGGCTATAATCGAAGTCCACTTAAATCTAAGGCAGTAGGTACTGAGAGAAATATTTCTCACAAATGTGTG